TGAGAAAAAGCGGGTCTCTAATTCTACAGGAAAAGTTCGCTAAGACTCACAATGGCCCTTATTTCGGGTGTCACTTCACGGTGAAAACGAAGTAAAGTGACCAGTTGTCACTAACGGTGAAGTGATTGCCATGTAAATCAAATGGGAATCACTTCACCGTGAGTGACAAGTTGTTACTTCACCGTGAAGTGACATCGGTAATAAAGGCCAATGACTCGCGAACTTTTCGTTTTGTATGTTTCATAAAACCTCGCAAAATTTTCCAACGCTGAACACGAACAGGTGAGAACTAGATTTTAGTAGAGAGTAATAGAATGAAAATATATATAAAAAATATAGGAACATATAAATGAAAATAAAGAGGAGATCTAAGCCTTTTCTGTTGCACTCTTTCTTTTCTGCTGCACTACTGTTGAACCAAAGGCACTTCCAAGACTTTTCCGGCTTATTTCCAAACTAGTTCAAAAATTCTTCAGGTAAATCACAAGCACATGAATTACAAGAACAAAGCATCAAACGTCTAAAACCACCAAAAAAGGGCTAGGACGACTCTCTTGTCGAATAAATCAATTGGCAAATCTATGTTGGACCTTGGCCATACGCACTCGTTCCCAACCTTTGACATTAGCGTGCTCGATTTCTCATCAAAATACAGCACGAAATCGGCTCTTCGAAATGATGTCTAAGACAAAGTTGTAGAAACCGAAACAGGTGAATGTATAAACAGGAACGAACTCACCATTTGAACGATGGTTTGCCCGTGAAGCAAAAAGTTGGAAGACTTTTGCATTTCCTAATTCTAGCTCAACACATCAAATCATTCCATCGGATCTTCAAAGAAACTCTTGCACAATCCGCTTCCAATCAGAGGCATCGGGCTAGCTTGCCAATCACCTAATAACAGCTCTGACGAAAAGGATGCTGATAAAAAAAATTAAAGGGTTGTGTCCTAGACACGACCGCAGTATGACGTAGAACTACGCAAAATTGAATTTTTGATTATAATACTTTATCTTATGTTTTTTAAAGTATTTCAATGTTTCGGTTATGCTTCAAAACTCGTGACAATTCATGTTAGCATAATCAGACCACGGTTCATATAACGCATGAGATAATGTATTTAAATTTAATGTAATGGTTAAGAATTGACAGAATTTCCCCTACATAACTACCTTGGGTTGATCAAGGTTGAGTTATTTTGCTGTGATCAATGTACACTAAATTTTACATCGACATCGACTACAATAGGAACTGACACTATTTTGTCACACATTTTTTGTTGATTCGCACCTCAGTTTAGTACACAAAAACGCCATGCATGTTATGGGATAAAACAATTGCCAAAAAATGCATTAATTTTTTCAGTAGCTCCAAGTTAGGTTTCTGAAGCAGAGAAGAAAATGAAGATTGCATTTTATGATAACTCAACAGGCAGTTGTTTTACCTGTCAGAAGACGGTACTTTAAATATTGAACAAAATGTTGGTTCATATGTCAACGAAGTAGGGGAGGAAGGGGTATAACGATCATATGGGGTTTAAGCACTTCGTTGTTCTCTATGCATCATCATTATGTACTTTACAGCGTATTCGTAGCATGATTTCAAAATAGAATACTGTGACTTTTGTCAAATTAAACGATTGATTTCCAATAAGTAGGTGCTTAGTACAACATTAATTGAAAATTAGGGGATTCAGCTATTTAATTTCAAAGTCAGAGCAAAAGCTTGTTTACAGGTTATCCACCTGTTTTATGTTTTGATAGTAAACATCATAGTTAAGGTATACCGGTGCCAGTTGAAACAATACGTGTATCTCTTAATGGAAGTGAATATCCACTGTAATTATTTTTGAGAGGCATCGTGTACTACCGCAAACTATATTAAAAATAATCTCAGTGATTATTCACTTCCACTAAGAGTTACATCTACCGTTTCAACTTCCCCACGCGTTTCTACTTGCCCCGGTGTAGGGTAATGGATTTTGGTTGGACCTATTCATGTCATTTTTGCACAGCGTCTAAATGTATGACGTGTTTTTTTTCTATGAATATTACATATGGACATGAAAAATGATTATATTGAAACGCGGGCTCGTAATCATACAAGCATTCCTGAGTAATTGCGCTAATTGGGTTCTTTTATTTTAAAAAAGTGTGTCGATTTTTATACATCATCTGAAAGAGCTTCGTTTTTTGAGCACAGCGATATTTTTTTCGAAACCGTAGATTTTTATCACGATTTCTAAATCAAAGTTTAAAGCAAAATATCAACTCCACTGTTTGACACTAAACTAAAAAATTGACAGCTCGCTCCCAAACAAAGTCGCACTGAGGGGCGCTAAGATGGTGATATTTGCTAATGTAATCGCACTTATTTAAAATAGTTCCAGTGCTCTCATTTTGATCAAATTTCAGATTTCGGTTCCATGTTTAATGCAGATTACGAATATGCCTTTACCTCAATACCCTTAAAGAACCCAATTGGAAACAGTAGTTAGAGCTTCTTTCTCTATGATGCACGGTATATGCATTTGGGTTAACATCCGACGCCCCTCCTTCTTTCCATATTCTGCACAAAAATACTTTCTAAGCCCCGCCCCTGACAGGATTTCCCACCGTTTTTTTTATGAATGGGGCGGGGCAGAAAGTATCTTCTGTGCAGAATATGTAAAAAAGGATGAACTTCGGTTGTTTTTCTAATTGCATATATACAGGTACCAGATATGTTTTACAGTCAGTTGGTGATAAATCACCCACAGAATAACATCAACATATTGTGAGCGATTATTTTCTAAAATTCGAAGCTCTCTGCCCAAGTAACATTGCAAGCTTTATAGAGGTTTTATAGCATTCTACAAGTCTTAATCATGGTCCACAGAGCCCTCATAAAACCAAAATTGTAACTAGGGTGGGCAGAAGTTGAGTAAAAAAAAAATTAACGGAATTAAACTTTTTTTTATCACATTGTAGTTTGCTTAACAATTATTTCCCGGAAATAAAGTGATGGCTTAAAGTCCATGTTTTTTTTCAGGTTGTCGTTATAGGTGAGGGGGGGGGGTTGTTTTGCATAAATAACTTTTCCGCGTTTCGTAATAGGGGCTGTTCATTAACTACTTACACATTTTTTTTGGGATTCTTGCCCCCTCCCTTCCCCTCGTAGTTAATTAACAGCCCCTTAGTTGAACGGGACCCAATTCACTTTTAACCACTGACATGCTCCTGCTTACTGCAGGACCAAGCGCCACGCCGTCCGAAGCGGTAATGAGCAGAAGCGTGACAGCAGTGCTGTTTAATATCTTTTCAGAAAGATGTGCAACCAAGTGGTACTCGATTATGATGACTGGGTTTGGGAAAAACGCTTATTTCATGCAAACAGTGATAAAATTATCATTTGTACATGTTTCAAAAGATTTATTACAGAAAAATTGGAAAAAAATGTTTATTGCAGCAGGTTTGTAATGTAATAACCTATCGAAAGGCGTATTTGGATTTTAATTTCATCAATAAATGACAAAGTTACAAGCGTTCAAAACCTAACACTTTACCACACATATTTTTTGATTTGCACCCCAGTATAGTCGACAAAGACGTAGTTCTACGTCAAAAAACACTTTGAATTGCATTTCACTCGGTCACTTGTACTTTCTTTGCACTAAAGTTCTTTTCTAGAACTATGTTATCGAGTAGCACATTGTTTCGGGCTAAAACGCTATGAAAAAATCAATCACAGAAAAAATGAAGCCTAAAATTTGACACTCGGACATTTTTTTTAATAACGTACCACAAAATCACATACTCAAAAAAAACGAAAATTTTATCGTGACAGCTCCTTAAAATGCCAACCGACCGTGGGCAGAGCCGTATTCGTGCTATGACTTATTGAAAAATATCGAATACGCCATATTGAAAAATTAGGCGCTAGTCAAAACGGTCGAATTCCAGCACAAACTCGATTTATTGGCAACAAATATGCAAAGTAACATGGAATTCTCAGAGGTTAAATCTGAACTTATTGTTTCGCTATTTAGCGTGGATTTGCTGAGCTGCTTAACAAGTCCAGTAGAAAGTGTATTAAGATTGCAAAATTTTTCGACTATCATTGAAATAGCCATGGGAAAAAAACTTTTAATAAAGGCCAGGAATTTTTATTTTTTTTATTATAGCCCCTTAAATACTCCTGGGTCATTCGTGGCTTTTCCGGGATGAGATTTGAACTCGTGACTTTTGCGTGAAAGTTCTGGATATTTACCACTACGCCAGGGCCATCTCCCTAGGCCACATATTTGTTTGCCACCATTGTTCAAAAATGGTTTGCTGCACAGCCAAATTCAGAATATCAACATCGTTCCACTACTGGGTGCATCACTCCCGTGTTTGTCGAACGGAAGTTGAAATCGTTTGATCCGTCCGAGACCTTTCACTGTTTCTCCCGTGTCGGTCTTTCCCGTACCTACCTACCTTCATTCTCGCACTCATCACGAGTTGGTTTTTGTTTGAATAACTTTATTTTTCCCACCTACGGCTATACCCTACCTGTGCCTTGAGCTAGCTTTCCAATACAACAACAACAACAACAACGGCGGAGAACAAAGGAAACATTGGCGGGGGGAAATGTGATTACAGTAGCCCCCCATTTATGCAGTGGGTTGAGCTGATTTTCTGTAGATAACTAGTTTAAGATTGACACTAATCACATACAAAAAATCACCGTAATTGGTTCAAGGGCAGCCGAAAAACAGCGGCCGGTTCCGTCCACCGCATATATGAAGGGACTACTGTACACGAGAATCAACAGTTTCCCAATGGTCGGTGGTGGTCGGCGTCGCAACACGTGCGGATGAACATCGGCAATTCATTCCGGAGCCGAGCATGTGCGAAAATCGAAATGAACGACCAGATTCACTGCAAACATCTTCGGAAGGGCTCTGTGGATGCTGTGCCCTGGCCTGAGAAGGATCAGTTTTGTTTGAAACTCGCGTGGATCCGGTCGAAAGTGGAAAGTGCTCTCTTCCTAGCTTTCGGTGGCTAAGTTATCTTCTAACCACCACCCCCTCTAATTGACTGTCTCTCAAGAGGAAGACATACCCGGCTTTCCGGCATTACATTGGTTGGGACAGGCAGGACTGTTTAGGACTGTAAGTGCTAAAGTGCTGCTCCCAAGTGGTCAATTAGTGAGCATGGATTAAATTAACTCCTTGTGGGCGATGGACCACATGTGAATCAGAGAGAATTTTGCGGGCATAATTTGGAACAGTGCGTATATGAGAGTGTCGATGGATGGGTGCATGCGTGCGTCTGGATCGTTGTCCAGCGGTAATCGGAAAGCGGATTACAATTAGTGCCAGCGTGTTGAGTGATATTCCTTGAAGTGAGTAAAGTGTGCTGTGTTCATAATTAAGAGTGCTAATGAGAATGGATCCATAAATCCCATTAGAGCAGGCATTTTAGCGAGGTGTGAGGATTTAACACACCTGTTTCGGGGTGTGAGTTAGTGAGCGTCCGTTAAAAGTTGTATGGCAGTAGATTCGTTGCTGTGCGATCGGATTAATGGAATGCCTGAATAACTGAAGGTGAGGAAAGAAAGCAAGTATAAATCATTATTTCAGTGGATATTGTTTGGTTTGAACGGAAGCAACAAAAAAAAAACGCCGTAACGAGATGGAATGTGCTTCTCTGGCTAAGGTGAGTACGAAGTCTAGAGCTGGTCCGCCGCAGTAAAGAAATAGAAACAAGAGGGGGGCTTAAAGGATTTTCTGGAATCCGGCATGGAGGCGGTGGAAGGGTGCAGGTGGGGTTAAAAATAACACACATTTCTACTGCTGTTGGTTTTGTGTGCTAGTAACGAAGCATCTTGTTATTCCGCCCAAAGGAATTCTAGTTAGAGCTGGAGAATTCCAAGAGTGCACCGAAACCATCGCGGTAGTTCCTGCCATAACCAAGGAAGTAGGTTAATTAAGAGCCAACAATGAACACTCGAGCCATTGTGTTTTTTTGTTGAAGATTATTTCAGCAGCTGTTAGCAGATCCATGAAGATTTAAAGTGGATAAGCGGGTCGCTAATGATTATTTAATGATGTTTTAATCATCATTAGCCAGCCTCTTTGTGAGTGAATCTGTGTAAAATTTGATTTTAATACCTACTTAGGACGTATCCAATGGCCCGGGATAACTTTTTTTGGTTAGTTGAAAACAAAAACAAACTAAAATCTACCAGTGCTCAGTGAAGTGTTGAAACATGATTCGAGAATTACAGAACAATGACATCCAAAGCTAAAAGATCGAGATGTGCAAGCAAACCGATTAATTCTTAATCTGCCAAGGAGGGGTTTTTTTGGAGGAGATACTGGAGCTTAAGAAACAAATTACCTTTATTTATCAATCGATTGCTGATTTGACCCATGCCGGTACGGAAGTTCGGGTTTCGTTGCCAGAGGATACACCGTTTTGCATTGGGGGTAAAAATACAAAATGTCTCAAAATTCAACAACTCCAGTTCTCGCTGGAGAAACTTGATCAAATTACTCTTTGCTACAGACAAGGGTTATAGGGGTTACAGGCGATTTTCGCATATAACCCCAAGTTGTGTATAGTTCTCAAAACTTTTAATAGCGACGACGAAAATAATCCTTATTTGAAAAACATCTGAAGAATCCAATAAAAAGGGTTTCAACTTGGGCAGATAAGTAAAACTGATATTTTGTGAGTCTTGTTTTCAATAAGAGAATCTAATCAAATAATATCATAGGAAAGAACCTTATTAAGTTTAACGATTGAAAAGTTATTATTCTCATAACAAGGAATTTTGGAACAAAGCCGCCAAAACCCCAACGAGGAATTAACATAACTATGAACAAATCCTAGGGGGACTTCTTTTATTTTTGGAATTCTCAATTAGGTACTTAGCGAATAATTTTGATGTGTAAGGAAAATAAATAACTGTAGTAATAATCCTAGGGAGGCTGTAGCCCTCCCTAGCCCCCTTGTAGCTACGCCAATGCAACTTAACTTGCACTATCCTGCGCAAGATGAAACCAGTTCCATTCGGTTCCTAGGATGTTTACCTGTAAGTAGGAATAATTGTAACGTGAGGTCGATCATCTGCCAAGCTACTTAAGGTGATTTTGTGAATTCGAGGGAAAATTTCTTTTTCATCTTCATCTTCTGATCTAAGTTCATAAAACTGATACAGATCAGGAAACCAAGAAGCAAAAGAGCTCTCCTCTTGCGCGGTTGGCTTAAGGGCTTCCCCAGCGAGTTTTTTTTAAACAGAATGGACAGTTGTTGGTTGTGAACCCTTTCAAGGCACACCGATTGAAAAAAAAACCCTACGGGGAATCGGGCAATCTGACAGCTCGTGATGGTCCCCGCTGTTGAAACATTCGCCTTCAGCTGGAGGACGATAATTTGAAACCAACTTGAGTAGTGAACTCGGTTTACTGGTCCTTGGCTTCTGTTCTTTAGAATGACCATCAAGCTTTACCTCCTTATCTGAAGGATCCGCCTTGGGACTCGGAGATTGCTTGGCGTTAGGCTTGGAATTATTGAGCACCGACTTATATCCTTTAGGAGGATGTTCGTTACCAGCGGAACCAGTTTGGCGATTCCGATTCAAAAATGTCCGAGTAGCCGAATACGTTCCGCTGCTGGAGTTGATCGCACAGTTCTCCCGTTTGTTCGAGTTCGAGTTCGAGTCAAACATCTTCGAAAAGGCTGATAAATCAGTGGCGTCTAAATCTCTACCAATAGCCATCAGATCCTTGAGCGTGGTTACCCTTTTACCTACCAAAGCCTTACGGACATCGTAACGTAAGTTAGTTTTGAGGACTTCGACCTTTTCGGCCTCCGCCATGGGATAGCTCATGGCTTGGAAGAGTCGATTAATTTGGAGATAATATTGTTGAAAAGTCTCTCCTCTTTGTTGACGGGTTTGGTAGATCTTGGTTCGAAGTACCGAGTCAAGATCTGGATGTCTGAATTCCTTTTTCAGTTCCCGAACCAAATGCGACCAATCTCTCAGCGAGTATTGGCTTCTTCTCGAGGTGTACCAGCCTAAAGCTGGACCGTCAAAGAGATGGATTGCCGAATCGAATAAATCAGCCAGTTGTTGAACATACGACAAAAAATCATTAAGCCCCAACCCCTGGTCCATGCCGGAATACTTTCTAATTTTCCATTGCGACACTGGCGTCACTTTGCGCGGTGGTACGGTAGGTGGTAATACCGGAGCAACAGGTTGTTGATGTGGAACATTGGGATAATTATTGTTGGGATTCGGAAATCGGTTGTCGTCCACTGAACTGATGGAACTCAACGTTAATCGGTCCACCAAATTGTGGAATGGAACATTCTCACCAGCCCCGTGTGAAATCGGTGCCGGGTATGGCACGCTTCCCGTAATGGTCGAGGTTGTCACTGTTGACAAACCTATTGATCTCAAATATGGATCTTCCCTTCCATACGAGGTTGTTGGAATACTCGGAGGTGGAAGATTATCCTCGTCAAAAAAAGGGTTAGTTCTGTTGAAAGTGGGTCTTGGAGGTAAAGGAACTGTGGGAGGTTTTCTAATCTCCTGCCTTAACGAATTGACCTGAAAGACTAGCGATTTAATGAGACTACCGATGGCAGTCATCGCTTTACTGAAATCTGCTTTTGTCACAAATTGAGAGAGATTTTGTTGTTTAGGAATAGCTCCTGTTAAAGTTGGCGGGAGGGACGACGTGGTTACCAAAATCCCTCCTTCCGCTTCATTTAATAATCCACCCGATTCAGAATCAGTTTCCCCAGTTGTGGAAAAGAAGTTGTCCTCTGCCCAAAAATATTCCGAAAACAACTGTAGGGTTTTACAAAATTCTTCGTTGCTCTGTGTTTTTAGATCACCAGCTGCATGATTTTTAAGCACCGCTGATTGGTCACCCAGATGCAATAAACGCGCTTTGCAAAAATCTGTTTGACCTCGAGGTGTGGACCTGAGAATTTGCCGGAGTTCTGTAAAAATAATTCTGCACATACCTAAATCGATCTCTGGGTCTAAGTCATAGTGGATCATAAATTCATGACCCTCTCGTTCGTCTTTCAGGATCTGTTTCAACCTGCGTCGACGTTTACACCGTGATTCATCGTCTCCGATTACCATGTTACGGAGCAGCAGCTCATAATCGAGCTCTCCAGGGTCGAGATGGTCAACACGCATGCCGCGGTAGAGTGCATCGAAATCTGGTCCAGATACGGACCTTCGCGACATTTTAGCAAATTTGATTAAAATGTGAAAACCAAATTAACTGTCTACCTATGAGACCAAAAGAATCACTAAAGGCTATTCAAACACCAATCCCACCCAGAACTGTTTTATATCAACTGTAATAATCCCTGAGCGATCAAAGATGACTTTGAGAATGGATCACTCGCTTCACCACGTGGCTTAGCTTTCTTAACCACCGCGAACCTAACCAAAAAACCACTGATTTATTGTTAAAAAATGCAACCAGAGTGGATATTATTTGAGAAAAAAATTACTATTTCTCGAAAACTCCCCCAACGCACAGAAGGAAAAAAATGTCTGGAGATATTTTTCCCCTTCTGAAAACCTTTCTAAGGAAATTAACGTTGCTCGCCAAATAAAAGACTGGTTTCCGCCCCGGAACCACTGAGTCCCTGAAGGGAACTCCCTAAAGCCCCAAGCTGCTGGTCTTAACCAACGGCAGCTCCCGGGGTGGGCACTCAAGTCCCTTGTAGGTTCCGGGTCTCAGGGCGTATTGGCGTGGGAGAGTTTTCAGATGTGAGGAGACCTGAAATTATGTTTTTTTTTTATTACCTTGTATTTTATTGGCCGGCGATGACAGGGGGCGGGGCAGTATGGAACGGTGATTGGCTGGTGGTTTGGCTGACTCTGGCTGGGAAGCGGTGATGGTAGCCGGTGATGGTATCGAAAGGTGATCGGCTGGGGGTTCGGTCGAAACTGGCCGGGAAGCGGTGATGTATATCGGGTACTGATCGGCTGTCGGGTGGGCAACGTGAGGACTTGAATGGCCGGGGTGATCTGGGCTTTGCCGGGTAGTCAACCTGCAATAGCAGGGGCCTACGGCGAACAATGGCGGGCCTTCTACGAAGGACTGACTGTCCGCAATGCGATGGCGATTGATGTCCAACTGATGATCGACTCGCAAGCTGGTGGACTGACCGGGTAGATTCGTGAATAGCCTGGTAACTTGGCCGGGGAACGGGTGATGATCAGGTCTCCTAGCGTTCCCGAAAACAAAAGCGTTCTCACACCACGTGGCTTGGACCGATGGCGAGGGTGACTCAAATTTCACACCACACGCAACAAACTTTCATTCTCGCTTCTACGAGGGCTCACGACTTACTGCTTAAATCCACTGACCGTCGGACTCTCTCTTACCTCTTATCATCGACCGTGGTGTTGCGTTTCTCTCCATCCGCCCCCGATCGTAGGCAGCCTTCACTCCTATCTTCTAGCTTCTAATACAACCACCACATTTCGAAACTGATCGCCCCCCCACTTTGAATCGGCCGTTATTTTACTACAATTTATTGGCCCTACTCCCCACATCAA